TCCAGGATTTAACGACTGACACCTTTTCAGAATCCGTGCAGCACACAACTTCTGCAGAGATGATATGTCCCAAGTCACTTCCTTTCGGAACAATTTGCATTTAGCGGGAACTCAGCTTCAGAATGGCTTCTTTCAGTTTCTGAAGCATCTTTCTAAGATTTTCTAGATGTTCTTCAGAACTCTTTCCAACGATGATGTCGTCCAGATATATCAGACAGGCTTCGTAGGAAAGACCTTTCAAAACAGTCTCCATGAGGCGTTCGAATGTTGCTAGTGCACTACACAGTCCAAAAGGCATCACCTTCAATTGCCAAAGCCCTTGTCCTATAGTAAATGCTGTCTTTTCTCAGTCATCAGGATGTATTTCTACCTGCCAATACCCACTCTTTAGTGTTGAGAACCACTTGCTTCCAGAAAAAGTGTGTAGAATGTCATTAGTTCTAGGAAGAGGGTAACTGTCTGTCTTCGTAACCTCATTCAACCGGCGATAGTCAACACAAAATCTTGTTGAGCCGTCTTTCTTTCTGACAAGGACGATGGGAGATGCCCATGGACTTGCTGAAGGCTTGATGACATCGCCTTCTTTAATATCTTTTAACAGTGTTCGCACCTCTTCCTGTTTAGCAAATGGTAGATGTCTTGGATGTTGCTTGATTGGGAGATGATCGCCGGTATCGATTCTATGTTGTGTCAAACTGGTTCGACCCACGTCAGAAGACAAGTGGGAGAAAACAACTTGAAGATCTTTAATGACGCAATCGGCAGCATTCCTCTCTTTATCGTTTAATTGTGCATTCTGCAATAACTCTGATGTACTGCTCTCTGAGGACATGGCTTCTGGGATGTTACTCTTTCTTTCAATGCTGGTTACTGCAGCACATGCTGCAACCACTTCACCTTTCTTAATAACTCTCATCTTCTCAGTTACATTGGCGACTCTCACCGGGATAATCGTTCTGGATAGGTCGACGAGTGTTGAGGCTACTAGTACTCCTTTTGAGCTATTACAGTTATTGGGATATTCTATGATGCCGTAGCGGAAATTTCTATTTTCGGCTATGGATCCAGGAAGTAAAATTTCTGTTCTTGCCGGTATTGTGATATTGTCTTGTGCTATGATTTTGTGGATAGATTTAACTCCTTCATTATTAATTCCAAATTGGGCAATGTTCTCAGCAGCAAAATGCAATTCGTTAAAGTCCAAGGAAAAATTGTATTTCCTTAGAAAGTCTAATCCGAGTATGCAAGAATCAGTAATCTCTGTTACATATTCCGTGTGATGGTAAGCGGCACTTCCAAACGTGATGTTAACGTTTATATTTCCATCGATGTCGATCTTCTCACCGGACACAGTCTGGAGGGTAACACAGGGTGGTGTCCAGATAAGTTTGCTTCCCAGTTGTTGAGCCAAATCTTTTTGGATGATGATAAGGTTGGCTCCTGTATCTATTGTCATATTGCAGGGAAATCCATTAATATGTCTTATTATGAAAAGTCCATTACTGTCGCCTCTCACTGCAGAAATCTGAAGCGCTTTAAACTGGGACTTATCAGTATCTGGCAACCTCCGCCCAACGAGATGGCCCCTAATTAGTTTTCTTGCTACTTGCTCGGAGCAGTCTTAACATCCGTGCCCTGGGGTGTTCTGCAGTTCTGTTGTATGTGTGTTTCAGCACCACAGTTCCAGCCCTTTTACGGTCGGTTTCTTGTCACCAATATTCCATCTCAAGGCGTTCAGTTGCCCAGTTAAACCGTCTAGATGAACAGTGACTTGATCCCCTGGCTTGAGCAGCTCCGATTGGGTGGTGGTCCCTAGGAGTGGCTTGCTGGGCTGCCTCGAATTTCATGGCGTACACTAGAGCACTTTTAAGATCTTTAACATCCGCCATTCGTAGAGCTTTCTGTATTTCAGGATCCTGGATGCTGTCGATGAAGTATTGCAGGGACAGGATTTCCCTTGTTTCTGTCAGGCACTTCGCAAAGGAGAGATGGGACAGCCTTTCAACATCTGTGGCGAGTTCCTGAAGTGTTTTGGTGGGCATCTGTTGATGGGACTTTAGTTAAAGGTCTGCTGTAGTCTTTCAAACACTTTTTCCCCAAAGCACCGTATAGAGCTTCAAAGTCTAGTCTGGTTTTCGGGAAGCGCCTGCAGGATATCAGCTGCATCTGCTCTATGAGAAGCGGCGAGTTGACAGGCCTTAGCTTGGGAATCCCATCCATTCGCATTCGCCACTATTGAAAATTGTGTCTTATACACTTACCAGGAGGTCTTCCCATCATAAGTGGATAGCTTCAGAGAAGGACGACCAGCTTTAGGTAAAAATTTGAAACTATCAGAATTGTTCCTTGCCGTCGCTAAAAATTTCTTTAAAGTATCAACTTCTTTAGCAACTGCAGATACCCAGTCATCAATTTGCTATTCGATTTGGTGTTGAACAGAAGAAACTCTTTCTTCAATTTTTTTGCTCCACCGCAGAAACTCTTTCTTGAATTTCGCCAACTTTGTCTTCAACTGTATTTATTCTTCCTTCCATAGCCTCGAACTTGTTTTCTATTACGCAGATAATTTCTCTTTTCATTTCCTTTTGACCTGCTTCAATCTTTTCCTGAACAGCCTTCATCTCGTCCTTAACTGCTTCTTGACCAGCTTGAATGGCTTTCATCTCTTTGTGACCAGCATCCATCTTTCCTTTAATTGCTTTCATCTCCTCTTTAACAGATTCCTGTCCCTATCTCATTTCTTTTTTAACCGAGGCAAAGGCTGATATCAACTGCCTTTTCTTCCATCACTCTTGTTATTGGCATTCAAACCCCACTCCTGACACCAAAAATTCTTGCGTGCATACGGGTTCGTTACAAAATGAATGCACAAGTCCGATGAAAATGAACAAAATGTATCATCATCATAACAAAAATGCTTAAATTTCCTCAGATATTCATGCAGTGTTACAATATCTCACAGTAGTTATCTCTTAACTACTCAAATATTCAACAGAACTTAATTCAAAACAGCTAGAGAAAGCTAATCCACGAATTCGCTACAGTCAACAAGAGCAGTTTCCTAAACAAACTCTTAAAACAAAAATGAACTGAGAGGTTTTCATGCCGCTTATATAATCTTTTAAATCACGTGCGAGAATTTTCTAACACTTCCTCGAAATCAAAAAGAGATGTTTATTTATTAAATGCATGTGCTCTTGTATTTTTAATTTTCTGGCTTAGCTTAGCTTTAATATTCCTCACACGCTGCACTGCAAGGGGATTAAAACAATTTAATTTATAATTCAACTAACATTACCTATTTAAATACCAAATCTGTAACAATATCAAAGAATATTACTTGTGCCCAGAAGGAAATACTGAGTGATAGGTGGTTAAAGTTCAAGAGATAGCAGCAAAACTGGATCCAAAACAACACTTTTGCATATTTTATATGAACATCTCATGGACAAAGTCACTGAAAGGTGGATTCTGCAATTTTTTTCCAAAACTCAAAAACAGGAATGTGTTAATGCAATTCAAAAGCAATAGAGTGGGTTTAAAAACCTTGATATCACAGTTCAGAAGTGATTATTATCTGTTCTCCAAACTGAAATCTGACCTTTGTGGAAGAGATTTCATGATGACGATGGTATGAAAAGAGCAGTTATGGAACATTTTGAGGATTAACTTTCAGATTACTTTTCAGGGGCACAGCGCTGCTTTAAAAATGGCATGAAAAAGTATCAAGGTACAATGAAATCATAATGGAAAACAAAATATTAAAATTTTCTCTCAATTCATTTAGAATTATATCAAGGTACAAGGAGATCATACTGTAAAAGAAAATATTACAATTTTCTCTTATTTCATTTAGAATTATATGAAGCTGGAAACTTTTGCATCTAACTAGGTAGCTTCATTTTTTAAAGTATAAAAAATGCAGAACAATCATTACCTCAACATTTATAATGTTTCTGGAATTACATTTTACTTGCATTTAGGGAAAGAAAAGGTTACCAATTTTAAATTAATCTTTTATTTTATTTTGTTTGCTAAATCACAAACCATAAATTACTCAGTAAAAACTATAAAAAGCAGTTTCTAACAATTTTCTGAATTCCCATGAATTTAGGTAGAAAGGATGCAAAACAAATTAAGTAATGTTAGGCATTTAATTCTGGAACAATGCATATAAGCTATTTCCCATAAATGGAGTATCTTTGTTTCAAAAGAAAAATGGCTCACATGCCAATAATTCGGTTTAGACCAAGGATTTGGTCTTGAAATTTTTAAATTTCTGAAAAGATTATCAGATAAAAGTATTTTCTTGATTCCCGAAGGCCCTTCTCTTTACACCTAGACTACTTTCCTTAGTTTTGGACACATTCCAAGAAACAGACATTACAAGCTTATAAAAATTAGGGCAAATGTTGTTTTGTTGAATATATACAGAATTTGGCCAGCTGAAAAATTAAATATATGGTAATCCATGAAAATGTTCCTGCTATCAATAATAAAACTTGGGATTAAACAAAAACTATTCAGTAGTTTTGATTATTCCATTACTGCAGGGCTTATTATAAGGCTATTACTTGAAATTTAGAAAGCAGACATAAAATCAAAATGCTGAATTTTATGTAACGAAATATTAAAAGACTGAAATAGAAATACAATTTGTTGGCATGTAGTAGATACATCATCGAAACAGGTTTCTATATATCACATGTGGTATATCTTCATTTTAAATCCAAAATATATTTAAAAAAAAAAAAAAAACCTAGGATATCAAAATTATTTTTTTAAGGAACAGTAACATCAAAATATTATAAAATAATTTTCAAAAATGTATTAAATTCCAAAATAAAAATGTAAAAAGTTTACAGAATATAAATCACACGATATTTTTAAAATGTACAAATATTTAGTTTTGAAATATCTCTATATGTATATTCTTATATATAACTCCATGTCCAATAAAATTTTATGAAATCAAATTAACCCACAGAAAAATAACTCACTTTGTCATCAATTGAATCAACAGCCTGACAGAAAACACCTTCCTCTTCTTTTCCTAAGTTTGCTTCATAGGTGTCTCCTTCACAAGTACACTCTTTCACAGGTTGCTGTCTGCTATTAAACTAAGACACAAATATTTGTAAATGGAATGGTTAATGATAAAATGGAAATATAAGGTGTGTAAATAAAGTAATAAGACTGTATTTTTATCTATATAATTTTTTATACAATCAAAATTACAATCTTGCATTGTCTCCTTCGAAGTCACACAGCATTGGAGACAATTTACCAGTCTTATATAACAGCGCTGGAACTTAAGATACCAGAGTTAGAAAGCACATTAATCGTGAAGCAGCACCCTGAGATGAAGCCCTGATGGTTTTGATTCTTGGTCTCGCACACAAGGCCTTTTTTCGAAGCCTTTCAAGAACAATCTCTTTGTGTACAACTCCCTGGCTATCAAAACAGTAAATCAGCATCCTTTTGATCTTTAACTTGCTCATTCTTGCTTTTCTGAGTCTTGGTGTGTGTGCCCTTCTTGGTTTTGGCACCTCATTTCTGGATTGAACTTGAACGCTCAAAACTCGTCCCCAAGAATGACAGGTTCCAAAAAATGAGGACTACAAAAAAATCAAAACACCTGTCCCTCCTGTACCCCCTTGAAAGGTTTTTCAAAACAATTCCCTTCAACCCCCAATTCATTAATCAAAACAGGATGAATGACAATATGATTCAAATTCAACACTCCTATTATTCTGACTGTCAAGCAATGATCAGAATACAAAAGATCCCGTATTCAGGCAACATTTTCACCAGATCTTCATTCAGAAGTTATAGGCCTTTCATGTGAAGTTCATTTTCAACTGATTGCCTGCCTTGTGAAAATGTCCTAAACCAAGACTCAAATTCAAACTGGATGTAGACCAAATGCATAATCTGAAAGCAGTTGATGGGCTGTATGTTTCTAAACAAAACAGCAATAGTTTTTAACATATATACATACGTTGAAAATTTTCAGAATTAAACTTCCTACATATGGGTTCCCTCTTTTTTGATACTTCTACTAAATTTATATTAGGAGATAATATAATCAATATTTCTTTAATAAATATATATACAGTCAAAAGTCTTTAATCTAAACTCGTCGGGACATAGGCGATTCTGGATTATCGGTTTTTCTGAATTATAGATCATTAGTTTAAATCTGGTAATATGGCATGCAGAAATTATACAATTAAAAATATGAAACCGTAATTTATGAAATAAAAAGCAATTATGATCTAAAGGGTATCAAAATTTACAAAAAAAAGGTTAATATTTATTTGTTTACTTTATTAAACATTTCTTTCAACGCGCGCATGCGTAAAGCAAACATTACGCATAGTCGAAACTAGAAAATTGCAACCAGAAAACTATTTGATGTGTATTCGTGATATTTATAATGACAAGGAATTTGATTTAAATCATATCAAAGACGGAGTACATCGGGATGAAATACTCTATTTAGTAAGGAATTATAAGCCGAATAAAATAAAAACATCTGCCCTGAAGATAAGGATAATGCTGACAAATAAACTTCCAGTTCATTGCGTGCCGTGAAGTTCTTCCCCCCCCCCCCCGGCACAGCAGCATGAAATTGATAAACACATTTCGGAATGGTTAGAGAAACGAAGGATATGCTTTTATCCATTTTTTGCAGCAATTCCACTTTTTGTTTGATGAACATCTTAACATGCTTTCGCTTTGTAGATCCTTTGGCAGCTACAGAATTGGTAATTCTTTTTGACATAATCGAAAGTTCAAGCTTACTTTTATAAAATTGCTCTAATAGTCTGCAAAAAATAATAAGCCGGGTCCAATTAGAAGATTAAGGAATAATGCAATCTGTAATATTAACTGAAATAGATAATTAAACAATTTTAGCTTAGCTTATATCGTCAGTTATACATTAAACGCACATGCGTAAACGTATTATGTGCATGCATACAAGCATTACGCGTTTAAGCAGCGCAGAAAGTTTGTAGCTTTGAGGTCCGGATTATAGATCATTCCGAATTAAAGACTTTTGACTGTATAATGTACGTAATGATTTATCTGCAGATAACTTGATGTTCGAAGATAGCTTGAAAGTGTTGCACAAACTGAATGATGAACTTGCAAACGTGTTGAGTTCAACACATAAATTTCTGGAGACTCTTGATACATATCTTTGTGGTGATAGCAATAAGGAATGGGCCTTGCACCTTTGCATGTCTGCCGGTAAATAAGGCAACCCTAGGTAGAAGCGCAGAGATGAAAAATATAGGCCGGCTGTTCGAGGAGTAATATGCATATTTTGATGTTTTGAAATAAAGATAAGTTTTTAATGTGTAATATGTCTGCTCAAAGTTCTTGGTGAATACAGTGAGAACATTTAATGTAATATGGGCAACTAGAATCCCATAGGATCCACAATGATTACCACATTGGTGACATCTGGATTTCGCTAAATCAGGACATCTTTACAAGTACTTTCGGTTTTGACGTTTCGCCACCTCAAGACCTCCAAACCAGAAGAACTTATGGATTAAATCGATTTTTTTCCTCAAACAAACGTATTGATCATATTTCCCTTTTTCAAAGTCACTCAGCAAATTGCTGAGATTGTAATAAAGAAAGGAGCAGTTCCAACAGGAGAGATTATTCTGTTTGCTGGTATCATAGACATTTTGGAAAACCATGTAGAGAAGACAAGTGTATCAAACCTTGTTCATAGATGGAAAATGAAACCTGCAAAGAATAGAGGCAACTTGTTCTTTGCCTCAAATTTCACATCGCCTATTCATTCATGACAGAACAAGCATTTCATTCTTAGTTGATACCGGCTCTGACGTGTCCTTACTTCTGGTAAACAATTCACAAAAATGAAACTCTCCACAACAACACTTCTTGCTGCTAATTCTCCAAATATCCATGTTTATGGTAAAAAAAATAAAATAAAATAAAATAAAAATAAACCACTTTCTTTGGATTTTAAATTAAGGTGACAGTTTACTTGGACTTTTCTTATAGCAAATGTTAGTACACCCATTTTTGGAGCAGGTGTCCTTCATTTCTTTGAATTGGTGCCTGATCTTAGAAACAAATGTCTCAAAGATTTAAAAACAAAGTTTCAGACTGTAGGCTGTGTGAAAAATGCAGATATTCATTCAGTAAAAACTGCCTTTAGTGATACATCTTATCACAAAATTTTAAAAGGATTTCCTTCCATTACTAAACTGCCAGATCCTAACCAACCTGTTAAACACAAAATTCTTCATTACATAACTAAAGGTCCACCTGAAGTTGTGAAACCTCATCGGTTAGCACCAGATCGCCTAAAAATAGAGAAACAAGAATTTCAAATTATGATGCAACTAGGGCATTTAAGACCATTGAGAAGCAATTATGCATCCTCACTTCACATGGTTTCAAAAAAGGGAACTTTAGAATAGAGACCTGCAGGAGATTATTGTACATTAAACACACAAACGATAAAATATAAATATCCTATTCCATGTTTAGCTGATTTTACTGCCTCATTGCACAGTACTAAAATTTTTAGTCATATTGACTTGATCAAGGCATATCATTAGATACCAATCAATCCCATCGACATTCACAAAACCACCATATGTACACCATTCGGTTTATTCAAAAGTACCTGTATACAATTCGATATATGCATGACTTGTCATGCCTATCCATGACTTTTCAATGTTTTATAGGCAAAGTCACACGAGATTTAGAAGTTGTTTATGCTTTCGTTAACGACTTGCTTATAGCCTCTAAAGATTTTGAGGAACATTGCAGGCATTTAAAAGCTTTATTTTTCACAACTTCAGGAAATGGACTTTGCATAATTGTTTCAAAATGCACCTTTGGTCAAACATCCATTGATTTCTTAGGTTTTCTTAGATTTCCCTCAACCTAACACTGACAGAACTTTCCAGTGTAGCTTGTATATTATGATTAAAGATGAGATTAAAGATGTTCATCTCAAGTTCAAAAGAAATCTCGTTTTCGTGTTCTTAGCGGCCGAGCGGTAAAAGTCGCTGAACACTGGTACTTTGATCCGAGGTTCGAATCCCGCGACTGGGCTGGCTGCAAGGGCGTTTTCATGGTTTTCCCCATGTGTAATGTGTATACGAGCCAGTTTCCCTTAGAAAGTCCTCCATGAAGGCATCCCTCCCCTTAGGCAGAGAGCCCTCATGTGCTTTGCCATAATTAAATACACCACCGTTCTCGTGTTCAAGATTCATCCTTACCATTAAATTGGAATGAAAATGCTAAACAAGCCTTTATTGCTGCCAAAAATGCCACTGCTCAGGCTACCCTTTTGAGACACCCTATTCCTAGAGCCCAGTTAAGCATCTAGGTAGATGCTCCAGACGTTGCAATAGACGGCACTCTTATGCAGCTGTCTCAGCAAACATGGGAATCTATAGCATTTTCTCTACGAAACTGAACAAACGTCAATAGAAATAGTGCATGTACAATATGGAATTATTTTCAATTTATTCTGCAATTAAGAAATTCTGACACATGTTAGAGGGAAGAAATTTTCAAATTTATATGGACAGAAACCGTTAATATATGCTTTTAAGCAGAATCCTCACAAATGTTCACCTCAGCAATTACGCCATTTAGATTTTATTTCTCAGTATTCTACTGATATTAGGCATAAGTAAGGATCTAAAAACATTGTTGCTGACGCTCTCTCGAGAGCTAAAATCGATTCCATTACAAAATGTCCATTTTGAGATTTAAAAAATGTTCCAAAGCTCAACAGCAAGATCTGGAGGTACAAAACCTTCTCAAAAACAATACATCATCTTTGAAGCTGGAACTTAAGCGCGCCAATACTTCGACGGTAACATTCTTTGTGACATCTCTACTGACGTTCCTCATCCATTTGTGCCAAACTCCTTTGCAGACTATCTTTAATCATAATCTATCACATTCAGGAATTGCAGCTACTATGAAACTCATTTGTTCTCACTATGTATGGCCCGATATGAATCGTCGTATCAAAAGTTGAGTGAAATCCTGTGATTCTTGCCAACGATCGAAAATAATCAGACACACTAAAATACCATTGGGTACATTCTCTCTGCCTGATGCACGTTTTTCACAAATCCACATTACCTTATAACCGTTGCCATACATGATCGTGTCTTAGTTAAAAATGATATGAGGCACTTTTAATGTATATGCAATTAATAAGAGCATGTGTACAGAGGCTGTTCGCACATTTCTTAGACAATTTTGCTTTCCTATTAAAAAAAAAAAAAAAATCGTCTGAATTTTTCTTAACTGCAGCTATATCTTTGAACATATAAATTATCATCAGCTACTTGACAATTTTGTTTTCAAGCAAAATGGTGCTTTTAAAAAGTGATAGTTGGAAGGCTATGTTTGTGCCCTTTCCAAAGAAAATTATTTTTATCTAGCTATTAAAAAATGCTGTGAAAACCATGATTTTTCAATATCTATAGCTACAAAAGTAATATTGTCAACAAGAAAGGGGGAATGTCAAATTTTGGCTTCAAATGAAAAAGTTATTCCAAATACATATCCAAGGAAAAAACAGAATTTTTCAAATGTTGCAAAGGTAAGATTTTTAATGTTAAAATTCATTAAGTCAAAGGACAGATGCAAAATCATTAAAATGCTCTGTGTCGACTGTAAACAAAGTGATAAATGCCGATTTGAATCTTAAAAAGGCAAAAATATGTATGTACATTGTCTTTCTCCATGACATATCGGTAAATACGCTGCTGAATTCTTTATAAGAAGCATTTATTTAGACAAAAATGGAAAATATTGTCACAACGGATTAATCTTTGGTGTATTTAAGCGACTGCAATAATTTTTGTCATCAAAGAGAAGAAAAAAAAATCTTAATGTGGTTCAAAGAATCGAAAGAAAGTTTTTCTAAGGGATTTTTGATTGCTGCAGGTTTTTCATATAGCGGCAAACTAAAAAAAAAAAAAAAAAAAAAAAAAGAAAGAGAGAGAGAGAGAGAGTGGAGAAAAATGTTAAGATCAACTTTGCATATTATCAGGAACATATTTTTTGCCCAATTTTCAAATATGAAATACCTTCGCTTTACCGACATGGCCATTGATCAGTAGAACTGCATTAAGACAAAGCAAGCGGCCACACGTCAAAAGCCAATGTTAATTTCCTGGAAAAAGTGGAACAAGAAATGGGTATCAAAGCCATACTTTTCATTCGTATTCCTACTAAATCTACCATGGATTTTTGTACTTTTGGACTTTTAAAAAGCAGATTGTTCAAATGTCAACCTACAACCCTCTTTGGACTTTGGAAAACTGTTCCACATGAATGGGATAAAACACCTCTTCGGATACTACTAAAGGCTTTGTCTTAGAAAATACAATGTAAAAAGATAGTGAGGAATACAGGTTGTCAAATAGAACACTTAAAGCAAAACTTTTAGATAAAATATTTTTGTAAATACAATTGTCTAAAAAATATGTGAACAGTTTCTGTATGGATGCAACGATACACAGCGACAGCCATATATGTCTCAAATGAACCTGTGCATGCATGCCGAATCTTAAAATAACAAAATTGGACAGAACTTTCCAGTGGAGCTTGTATATTATGATTAGCATTAAAATTAATTTACCACTAATATTCTAGTCATAATATTTTAAGCAGAAATAACAAGTCCTTGCTTACATACATTTTCTATACCAAACTCAACTTTGATGGGCAACACTTACCACGTATTTAAATGAAAAAAAAAAAAAAAAAAAAACATTTATTTTAACTTGTTTAAAAAAAAAAAATAAAATGAAAATGATGATATTTATGCATTCATTTGCCTTCATGTTTGTATAGAATTGCTTCATTGCAAAAAAACATAAATTTTATGTGATGTTTGAAAGTGAATCATCAAGTAAAAGGTTAATGTATACATTAAACTCCTCGATTTCAATTACGAAACAAAAAGTATGATTACATATATTTACACATGTAATAACATAATTAAATATATTTATTATGTTTTTTTTATTTTTTATTTTAGGATGAAAAACAGAATAAATACTAACAATGCATTCAATTTTCGTCACTGGGCCCTTCTTTGCTTCACTTCGTGTTGTAGATTGAAAATTCTGTATTATATCTACAAGAATAAAAAATGCATATGTATCAGATGTAATAATAACAAATAATAAGATGACATTTTAGAATTTAGAACATTAATTAAAAAAAAAAGATAAATTTAAACAAAACAGGAACAACAGTGTCTTTGGCAAAATAAAACACTCTCCATGCTATATTTCAGTAAACTCAAATACATTTTTAATAAAAATCATTTAATAGCTCATTATAAAAACAACATTCAGTAATGTAACTAATTTTACATATGCATTGTTTCTAATAATCATCAACACATTCAGCTAAAATTACTTATTACAAGTTTTACAAGCACTAAATTTCTTGGTAGCTGTAAACTGATGATCATGAAATTTGATAGGATTACTTAAGATTCATTTTGGCAAAAGTTTGAGGAACAAATTGCTCATTATTTAGTTAGATAATACAAGGTTTAGATATAACATATAATTCTGGAGCCCTAAATCAAATTCCTTTTTAACCCTTTGCGGCGCACTATACGTTAACATCGGAATTTCAACAAAAAAAGTTGTATGCAGTCTATTTAGTTCTAAAGGAGTATACAGGTAAAATTTTGTAAAAATTGCACTTGCCATTTTAATTCTGTGGGTATTCCATGAGGTGGAATACTGCACTGCCAGAACTTTTAAAAGTACGACTAAGCAAGCATTGCAGTGAAGCACAAAAATGAGTAGAAGCGTTTGTATAAGAATGAAAAAAATTCTGTATTATGGCTATATACATGCATACTTGCCAACCTATGACACTCAAAAATCAGGAGATTTTTCACAATGTTAAAAAGACTTTTTAAATGATGAAAATATAGTTTTTGATAATGAATTAAAATAGTAACTAATTCTTAAATGCAAGCAACACAAAAATACCTGACACATAAAAAATATTTTTATTACTTGCATCGTTTAAAAAAAAAACACTTTAATCAGTTTTTGTACAAATGTTATAAACAGTGGCAGAATTTGCTTTCTTTAAAAAAGAAATTTCATAATTTTGTTCATAGCAATTGCCGTGTAGGCCTGCTTTCGCTAAAAAAAGTTTTTCTAATTTGTCATCACTAATATTAGATCTAAATTTAGTCCTTGTTTACCCAACAACACTGAAAATCCTCTCATACTCTGCATTACTATGGGGAACTGTCAAGATGGCCAACATAATTCTAGACAGTTCACTATATTTTAAAATTCAATCAGCATCTTTCAGTTTTCCAATTAAACTCCACTGGGTGTCAGCCCTAGCTGATTTTATAACTTCATCCAATTTTCTAATTCTAACTGCTGTTATGCAGTTGTTGAACTGTTTCAATTTTTCCTTCCTCTTAGAACTCCTTTCAAGATAATAATAAATATCAACAATGTTCATCCACATTTATTGGTAAAGAAGCTGCCCCTTTTTCAGCTGCTAAATTTAAGAGGTGACAGGTGCACCTCATAATCTGCAAATCTGAATTTTCCTTTCTCAAGATGCCGCAACACCAGTCTTCAAGCCTACATACTGGTGCATTATCGCACCAAGTGCTAAGCAATTATCCAGAGGACTGCATTTTCTTTTAAAGTTTTAATAATTAGCTTGCTATATTAAAACCTGTCAAATGTCCTTCTAAAGTGGGGACAGAAAGTAAACTGCACTCAATTTCTAAAGACTCTGGATTGGATACAGTTTTGAACAACAATTGGATACAGTTTTGAATCGGTACTATTGCTTCCGTAGAGAGGCAGAACGGAGCTGTTTTAATGCAATCAATAACTTAAGATTTATTTTTCAAATCCAGTTCTTTTACAATTGCACCTGTTTTGATTCTTGAGTATTTCTTAGCGATTTCACTATCGGGAAACATTTTTCTAAATAAAACTGCAGCGTGATCTGATGCATTCAGTGGCAGGTTGTGCTCCAGTAAAAAGGCAGAGAACAGATATTCTCATTATAACTTTTTGGTCCTTTGTTTCCAAAGAAAAATTTAATTTTCCGTTTTTTTTCAAAACAACTCTTGTTGTCATTGTGTTTTTGTGTATGCACATATTTGAGAACATCCGCCCTTCTACCATGCGAAATCAAAAAATTGCAACGACAGGTCGGATACACATTGAAAATTTATTCCATTTCCTTGAGGAAATAATGGAAGGAAAATCAACTGTGTACGATTTTTGAAATGCACACGAGTATTTCACCTTTCTTGCAGACATAACAAAACATGATAATTTCTAAAACTATTTTCCGAAGGCACGTGTACTCACACACAGGACAAAATGACCGAAATAACTAAAGAACATTCAAATAACAGCTTGCTTTGTCCTCATTGGCTAATATATGCCAGATGACACACAGTGGAGCACGATGCCCATTGGAGAACTGGAGAACGAAGTTTCTGGATACGTATATGCTCTCACTCACAAAGCAGAAGTTATCTAATTCGCAAGGTTTTGTTTTAGATATAATCTAAAGAAAATTCAATTGCTTTCAGATGTCCAAAATCACTTTTTTTTTTTTTTTTTTTTTTTTTGTTGTTCATATAACAAAGTATTAAGCCAAGTTCCATAAAAATCGTGAGAAATTTTAAGAATAAGAAAAAGTCGGGAGAAATATATTGTAAATCGGGTTGGCGGGAGAGCGGTCGAAAATCGGGAGTCTCCCACCTAAATCAGGAGAGTTGGCAACTCTGTACATGGTTTCCTTGATATACACAATATTTTTGAATATATATGGATAAATGAGATAAATATCTATACACACAAGTCCTATATACAAAAATATTTACAAATTTATCTATTTCTTAGCTTCTTGAAATTGTTCAAAGCAAGTCACACCTTTTTGATCGAAGCACAAACCAACTTTGCAGGTTTTGCACATAAAACTTGTTTTGTGCAGCTTCTGCTTCGTGCTACAATGTGCACATCATCTACGCATGCCCTTCACTGGTATGTGTTCAACACTACTGTAGCATTTTTCCCCGGCCACCTTTACTTTATTCCTGGGAGTATCTTCAGGTCTTGAAGGAAGTTGCCTTTTCAAAGTTATCTCTGATGCTTTCATGGCACAGAGGGAACACAGCAAATTTAAACGGAAATCTTTGGGCTGTAATTCGAGGGAAATTCATGAAACACTTTTAGCACTTTGGAAAGAGTTAGGCCTCTCCACGCCATTTATGGAAAATTAATAACAAAAAAATTAACTACGATTAATATTAACAATAAAGAAAATAAGCCTATAATATATACATACATGAAAAATATCTACACAATTATTGAAAATAAATGGGAATGAGACTAAAAAGCGACAGCAAAAAATTCGTGCAGGTCTAAGTAAAGATGAGTCAAGCTACTAATAAAATTCCTGCCTAAAAACTACTCCCAAAAAATTCGAGATGCCAATATTAAGGCTTTCATAACACAAAACACATTTCAACACTCAATACTGCTTTGTTTGAATTCATTCCCCTTCCCCCCCCGAAAAAAACAGCGGAAACAGAAAACGTAAACAACGGGTGTTCTCTAAGCACAGATGTTCTGATTCCTAACAGCATGAGGCGCAGTGTTCCGCTAATGGAACACCCGGTTTTATTCAATGATTCTGCGAATGGTTTTTGTATGAAAGATTTAAAAAAATATAGAACAAATAATTTGGAGTACAGCTAGCAAAATCATGCCTATTTTTTTTTCCAAATAAAATTTTTTATATCATTAAAAAATAAAGAAAATTACTTGAAAAAGAGTGGATTTTAATAACACATAATAAATGAAAATTCTGTGTCTCCTTGTGATATGCTGCTATCTACTGTTTAAAAGAAAAGTTCAAAGTATATTATAAAGGCATTTTTATCTATGTACAGTTGAATTTAAAAGGTTTCAGAAGCGATTCAATTTGGGTGTTCCATGTAGTGGAACACTGAGCCACAAAGTGTTAAAATTGTTTGTCAAAATTTTTTATATTTCATTAACCTTGTTTATGACTTCAGCAGGGTTCGTACACATTTCTGCACATCGAAATTAAGTACTTTTAAAGACTTTTAAGGATTATTAATGAAAAAATAAGGTCCTATGAGCAAATGGAACTGATAAATTCAATTAAAATATTATTCTATGATTCCTGAATTTCACTTGTAATACCCACCTAAAAATAAATAGATCAGTAAGTAGTATGCATTACTAAACATGAATTAAATAACATAATTATTAATAAGTTTGAGAATAAAATAAACTTATGCAGTTTATCAAGTAGCAGTAAATATTTTACACTTATAATAGGTTGGACATATTTGAAAGAAGATAAGCGACATTTGCATTTTACTAATAGTTAGCTTTATGTTGATTTTTTTATGTCGCATTTTGTCACATACTTGGTCAGTCTAAAGCAGAGGTTCTCAACCAGTGGTACGCATACCACTGGTGATACGCAAGAAAAAATAGGTGGTACACAAAGAAACAAAGTATTTTTAACTATTTATTTCAAAAATTAAAACCCCAACATCCTGATTAAGTTTTTTCTCTAACACTTGTAAATTTATGTGATCTGAGCTTTGTTCAAGAGTGGTGGTGTTAGTAGTACTTTGTAGTGGTGGTACTAAAAGTTTTAAATTTTTGTTTAGGTGGTACACATTAGTCGAAAGGTTGAGAACCGCTGTCTAGAGGTTTAGTAAATAGCAGGTAGATTTTATGTCAAACGACATTGGTTAAAATGAGAAGTAAGATCATAATCAACATGATTCATAACAAAATACAATATTATTACCACTGCTGCTTGTCTAGAGAGAGACCTGCTAATTAGAACAAACCTGAAAGGACCGATGTAGGCACGGTTGGCAAGTGTTGAAAGTTAGTCAGACTCTGTTTAATGCAGTTAGTGTCATAACTGTAGAGTTCCAGGGGTTGTAACCCAGTTAATATACTTTCAGGTTCGAATAAGCCATAATAATATGTTGTTTTGTATTATTTTAAGTCTCACTAGATGCAAAGAATAAGTTTTACTTGAATTTCTACATTTTTTGTGTTTTATCTTGTGACCACAGTGAATATTAATGAAAGGCAATAACTCGCTTTAATATGTAGAGATAATTTTTAAGAGTAAGCAGTTAGTTATAAATAATTAAAGTAGGTAAATAGATTACCTTAGTCGTTATGGATTTACATGGCCAGTATTAAATTTTTCTTTTTAACAATATTTGTTAAAAAAAGCCCTATTAAAATCAAAATCTAATAACATTTGACAGTTTAAAATACATGTAATTTACACCGATTCTTAAACGATATTAGAATAATTACACATTAAAAGCTATAAAACATTTATGTTTTGTAACAACAACACTCAACAAAATATTTATCCTTCATTTTAATCTGAAGCCTTCCCAAACATTTTGGCTAGTTTATATCGATTTCCTTTTCTTTAAGCATCTTTTCTAACAATTAGATATTTGTCTCAATATGCAAACCAGTGCTCTCGCTAGTTTCTGCGTGCTTTATCTCCTAACTTGTCAACCTCTCCACAATGTACCTATAAGGGTTTACTTGATCTGGTAAAAGAAAAACAGTTCCAAACCCCCGACAGACATGAAACAAATTATTGCTATGTCTGAAAGTAACTACAATATCAGACAAAGGTTTAAATAAGAATCTTATTTAAAAAGAACTTAGAACAAAGGCCTGTTCTGATGCTAACGAAATCAATTACAGCTCACGGTGACATAATTAAACAAGAACAGTCAAATTCAAACTAAAAATGTGGACTATTGGTCAAAGATTATACAATTTAATTTTAATTTAATCTGGCTCAGTAACTCTATCATATGAGGAGATAGAAATGGGAAATTATTGTAAAGGCTGAAATCATAAACAATTGTATAATTTACAAAATAATGACTGCACATATCTTTGAAGAATAATTTTCTTTGTGTATTCTTTAGTAATATAAGCATTCAGAAGAAATATGAAATATATATAGTCAAATCCGGTTACAGAGCTGGTGTGGCAGAATTTTTAGAATTTAGAGACACACCGAACAACAAAATCTAGAAATAGCAAAACTTTTAGAATTTAGAGTAGGCATTGGGAGCAGAATTTAGAAAGGCACTAGGAAGCAGAATTTAGAATCCACAGAGATAGCATCAATGCCTAGTACCAGCTCTGAGTATGATGCATTAAGACATATTAGATGAATCTTTTAAATTTTAAGTTTTCAATTTCTTTATTACTAAAAAAATCTCTTCCTATAATGCCTGCCCAAGTTGATATTTTCCATGTTTGTGTCTAGTGAAAAGTAGAGAAAATAAAGGGAAAATAAACATATTAAGAAAAAGATTCTAGCATCAAGAGTAAAACATTCAAATATTATGTTTTCATTGTTCTTCCAGACGTTCTCCAGAAAGTAAGAAATTCATCGCAAAATACATTCATTACGTGTTGAACATTTTAAATTTTGTCACATATTTCTCAAATCTTCTAGAATCGTGGATCTATAAATCTTGCCTTCAAATCCTTCTCAACTTTCCAAGCTGCAATGTCTAAAATACTAAAACATTTTCCTTACCAATTGTGTAACAGCAAAAAGCCAGAAATATTTTGGGAAAAAAAAGGAGGGAAAAAGTGTAAAATTAATTTTATAGAGAACACTGATGCATATTCTGAGACAATTACATGAGAAAAACTCTTACTATGAAAAAGTTAAAAAGAAGACATTTTTAATTAATTACATAGCTAATTTTGCTTTTGCTAAGAGTTGTTTCATAAATTATGCTTTATAGCATTATATCTTGTTTATTTTTCAGATTCAAAGTATTGTATAACATGTTGCCAAAATGAAACTTTATAATATGACAGCTAGAAATAAAAATGTTTTATTTTAATGTAATTTTTTTAATATAATACCATTATTTTAATAAAATTTATCAAGGTTATGATGTTTAAAAAAATCGTCGAAAAATTCTCAGATCACGGAATTAAAAATTTTCTATAGAAATGACCTTAAAATCGCCAAAATGTTGACAAGTTGCCAAATTTTGAACCGCAGTCTTAATAAAAGAATTCATATCACCAAAAAAAAAAATTGTTTAAGGGCTCTTTATTACAAAAAATTAATTTCAAAATGGTTATGTTTCACTTCTTGCTTAGAAACTTGAGTATTCCATGATTTATATTAGACACAGAAACAAATTATAACCCATGAACTTAGTCAAAAGATAACCATATACGTCAGTGAATCGCCATAAATATTCCTCCAAAATGCTAATTCATACTCAAAATGGCAGTCGTAAAAGCAGACAGAAATTTCAGATGATTAAAATTAAGGACTTTCTGCTGATTTTGGCCAAAATTAAGGACTTTTAAGGACCAAAATTCGATTCCAAAAAAATTTAAGAACTTTTAAGGACTCTTAAGGACTGTACAAATCCTGTTCAAGTTAAGTTCTTTATTGGGCCATTTAATGATCATTTTTTTAAGATCTTGAAAACATTCCCCTGCATGTTGTTCCATGAAAAGCAGATCCCAAACCTGAATCTCACCCCACCCCCCAAAATGCAAAGGTAAATGAAGAAATAGTACTCACTTATCGAGGATTAACTGGAGTTATATAAAAACAAGACAAAGATCTTATGAGTATATTGTGACATCATGCTTATCCATTACTAGTATTAAATCACTCTATTTGATGAAAAGTTTGTTTTTCAGAAATATTTGGCAAGAAGGTACATAATACCTATTTCTTATATTGATCAGAAATAATATATATCTATTTTTATTAAAATTTATAAACTTGCAATTCATTTTTATTTATTTTGGAGCAATGAAAAATTAGAACACAGTCGAAGATGTGCTATAACAAATATCAACTTTCATTAAAAATAACTTTACTAATAAACTGTTAAAATTCCTAATTAAAAAATCATAGCAAATTACAATTAATTTTAAAACACAGTTGATGGAAACATAAACATATAAGTAAAAATGGCATTCACAAAATATGCTTTAAAAATTTATTATCTGCAACATTTTTATACATATTCATACAAACATTTGAAAAAGAATTTCTATACTGTATTTAGAATAACTGCACCTTATACCTGTTAGTAATTCGGTCAAATATCTCTTACCTTGTGGAGGATCAGGTTTCATTAAAGCTTTTCTTACATCACTTTCCAAGCTATCTTTCTTGGGCCTATTTTTCTTTTCCGAGAAAGTGTTTAAAGAAAGTAAACCAACATCTGTATCAACAATATCATCAGTAAAGCGTCTTTTGATTCTTTGGCGAGACTTTACGCAAGTTGCAATTGTGGATTGAGAAGAGTCAGCTTCTATAAATAATTTTAAAACACTTATCATTAGATCATTCTCACTATATTATTATGTCATATAAAAAAGAATTGGGCACATAACAAATGTCACACTAAAAAAAAAAAGGTACACTTAAAGTCAAATAAATACTAAGCATCACTTAGTCAGCTTCATTAGGATGACCCTACACAAGTTGATGAAATAACTGCAATAGTTATTTTGGAACTTCTTTGTTATAGCAATCTTTACTATATTTGGTGATTTTAGATTTGCACAAGGATCTCAGCTGTAATTTCACCAAGCTCGTGAAGCATGAATGTGAAAATAAACAACACAATACATAATAATGACATGTCATTTCCTAACACTATTTTAAAGAATCCTTATTATTATTACTTTACTGCATGTAATTGTTCCAGTCAACTGCAGCATTTTCACACATACTAATATAGTTAAGCTGTTTATTACACCATTTCATGGGCATCAACTCCTCTACCTAGGTCTGAATAAATCTTAAATATATGTGGGAATTTATTTATTCAGGACCCAGATAAGCCTTAAGCATAAGTGGGAAATAGGTGAAGGTATAGTAAATAACTAAAGTAATATAACTCAAGGTTAATTTCAACAGCGTGCAATGAAAGCAAGATAAAATTTAGCTGAACAATACGTCTTCAGTCACCAATCTCATGAAACTTCACCAATAATGTATAGGGGTAATCTATATTCTAGGGTACTCCTTGGATTATGACCAAGTTGTTATTTCATTCATCACTAAGTTGCTGTGTCATTTATGGTAACCTGGGTATTTTACGGTGCATGTTTTGGAGACCCTATTATGACGTGATTGTTTGTAATGTGTGATCGCACTGATTTTGATTGTTGGGAGAATATTTCTCAGGGTTTATTTCTATGCATGTCGGTTAGCAAGTACATTACTTTTTTTTTTTTTTTTTTTCTTTTTTTTTTTTTTTTTTTTTTTTACTTTTTTTTTTTTTTTTTTTTTTTTTTCCTTTTTCTTTTTTTTTTTTTTTTTTAAAAAAGAAAAGATTAGTCACTTGTTCATTTCTTGGTGTAAATTCCAAAGTGTGAAATCCACTGCAAGAAAAATTATATTTATGAAAGCAATAATTGTAAGGAATGAAGTGAAATCCAAACAATGACATTTACTGCCAAGGAAATAAACTAAATGTAAAAAAGTGCCACAGTGTATAGGCATTTAAGTCAAGAGAAAAACTACAGAAAATGATTAAAAAATCAAAATTACATACCAACATGATTCCAAATTACTAGTAAATATACGCTGGCTTCCAAAAGTTAAGCACAAGATGGTAAAATAAAAATAGAAAAGTAAAGCTTCAATTAATACCAGTTTTCCCATGAAGGTAGTAAATGTATCTATTTACTTGAAAAAAAAAAAAAAAACTATTTGTAAAGATGAAAACAATATTTAATTTTTGCAAATTCCATGGCAAACACATTTGGGTCATTAACAAAGTAATGTTTAAAAAATTATAAACAGACAGACAAACCTTAAACTAAAGGCATGTTGATCACCCCTGATTTTCACACAAACTTTACAGTGACTGATAATACCTTTGATAAGGTGACCATTGCAGATACTAGCAATAGTGACTCCTCATTACTGCAATTTCCAATGTCTGACAGCCCATCAGCAGCCATGCAGTAAAATCACTGTGGTAGTTCCGACGCGGGTTCAATTCCTGGTGAATGGGTTGGCTGCACGACCCTTTCTATGGTATCGTCCCCCCCATATAACATGCATATGTACCAGTTTCCCTTAGGAAGCCCTCCATGAAACCTTACCTTAGGCAGATAGCCCTAGTGCGCTTTGCCATAATAAACTAAACAAAACCAACTATCTGAGATTGGCTGAAGGAGACAGTACAGTCGAGGGCAAGCCAAAGATTTCCAATGGAATTAAGGTTGAGAGAATGGAACAGTTTCATATAAGAAATGCCTTCACTTTTCAGGTGCTCGTTAATGGTACTGGCTCAATAGGAACATACAATATCATCAATAAAAAGGGAATCAGGACCAATTGCTGCTGTGAAGTCTTCTAGTATAGGGTGTAGGATTTCATCCCGATATCATGCAGCCATTACAAAATCATCCAGAAAGATGTGCAAGATGTGGGTGTAACATACCAATGCAATTTTAGCCCACATCACCTCTGCATGCACGAAGGTCAATGATATTCTGGTCCTGATTCCGAGCACCTCTTTCATTTCAGACCCTTATATGCTTATCAACCGATACCATGGCAGATTTGGACTTGCGCATACATTTTCGCTGAAATTTTTTACGGTCCTCAAAACGGAATAGTACCAAAATTAATTGCAACACATAAGAATGATTAGAATAATTATATGTAGAGAAGTAAGTGGCAGTTCCTTATTATCTCATCTTAACATTAAAGGTAGTGCATGCAACAGAAAAATGAAAATTGATAAAACTTATACACAAAAGAAAAAATAATAGGCTACATTCTTTCCATGCAATGGGTTTGGGGATGATTTTATCATAAAATTAGAGAATTTTCTTTGCTTTATATCTTATCATTGCATTTCATACCAATTCAAGCCAAAGGAATGAAGAAAGAAATAAGCCAAAATGTAGCAATATGTTGTAAAAAATGTGTGGCATGGCTTTAAAAAAAGTACCAAAACGGTTATAAATTTGTTAAAAATTGCTTACATAAAACTAAAACATATATTACTTTAAAATAATCTAAGAAAATTTCAAAGCATGGCATGAAAACAATGCTTCTGATCTCTGTGAAAAGTTAAGGTACTTTTCTGTGATGCGCCTGCCACTCATTTTGGTTGATCTTTTCAACTGTCAACTATTTTTAGTTATAAGAATATTTTATAGATACACATAAATACACAACAATAACACACACAGAACTATCATTGAGTTTTGATGTGTGCTTTACTTCTCTTTTACAAATGCCAAAAAGCGTGGCAGGTGCATAACGGAAAAGTACCAAAATAAAAAATAATTCAATAGAATGACATCAAATCTCACATTTGAGATGTTTCAAGAAACAATTTTAAGCTAAGAAGAATTCAATAAAAACTGCAACAGACAGATTAATTTTTTTTAATAATTAAATTCAACTAATGTCTAAAAATGTTCTTCTTTTGTACAGCAAAAATGACTTTTTTTTTTCTTTTCTTTTTTTTTTTTTTCTTTTTCTTGTTAAAAATGATAGGCGAATAAAATTCTCACCTTTTTGAGCAGCATCATCTTTCTCAGGACTAGATTCTGGAGTGGCAAGTACTTCATCTTCAGGAATCACTGTATTAATGATAGTATGTGAAGAATTTTGCAGAACTGGTTTTTTTGGAGGTGGACTAACGGCATGCAAATCATCTTTTGGGTCAGAAAGCATATCATCTTCTTTTGAGGTAGGAAGTACATCATTTTGAAACATACCAGAAAAATTTTCATTAATTGCCATGTTAATTTCTTCTGATGCATCTCCATCTTCAAGTTTCATATCATTTTCTTTAAGAGTGTCATTCGAATTCTGATCATCTTGTTTTACTGAATCCTCTTTATCCTTTTCATCTTCTTTATCAATGCTTTTGATATTTTCAACTGGAGATTCTTTGAATGGGAAAAGTGTAGAGTTTGAGAAACTCTCATTGCTGATTTCATCATATTGGGGAGCTTTAAGTGGTACAGAAGCATATGAAATTTGCTCTTCATCAAACTTTTCATCAATAAACTTTGTATCGGGTTCCCACTGTATTTCACTTAACTGCTGAAGAATTCCAGCTGTATTCTGGCTTATTTCGTCACATTCACCAGCTGTAACCATTGGAGAAACATTTTCCTCATTTTTAAAATTTTGTATACAATTTTGAGAATTTTCATCTTGCCCTTCAGGCAAAAGACTATCTGAATTTGAATTCTTCTGCTCAGAAACAGATAGCATAGGTGAATTCCGTGAATCAGTTCCATGTTCTTCATCTGCGAGGGACTTTTCAGAAGGTGTGTAAAAGTCCTCACTTACAAGACTGTTCTCATCCTCAGAATCCAAATAACTACTGTTCTCTGTGCCTGCTAAACTGCACTCATCGTCTTTGGATTCATCATTAGATTTTTGCTTTTTCTTTTTCTTTTTTGTGAGGTATAAACCATATGTGGCACCTTTAAAATGTCTTTTGCGATTTTTCTTTTTCACACTTGAATTACCCCCTTGATTTGATGATGTGGAATTTTCCATGCCACTATCTTCAGTTGGTGAGGAAGTAGCAGTCCTACACTGAGATGAAGTTTTGGATCCTGTACTTACTTTGCTAGTAAGTGCCTCAATGGGCTCTGAAACTACTACAGCTCTCTTTTTCCCATTCGGTGCAGGCTTTTCTGATGATCTCTTCAAGCCACTGCTTGATCTTAAAGAAGGAAAAGCCTTCGCAGAATGGGAAGGGGTTTTCGCTGTCTGTCTTAGAGACATCCCACCTTCTCCTTCAGAGAAACTTTTTTTAGCTCTCTGGCTCATTACTGGTTCTTCTGTAAGACACTCAGATGAAGAATTATCTAATCTTTCAATTTTCATATTTTCAGCATGTAAATTAATCTTATCTGAGACTAAGTGAGACTTTTCTGTCCGTGTTGGAATTCTCTCACTGGCATGTTGGGGTTTTTCACTTGCCAATTGTACTTTCTCTTTCATTTCAGAAGCTTCAATGCTTTTCCTTAAAACCTGACTTAAGGGAGTTTTTAATGCTGATAAAATAGATATATTTCCTCTAAGTTTTTCTTTCCCTGCAGTAGCTGAAGACTCAGCTTTACAACTCTGTTCAACTGGAAGTTTAGAGTCTTGTGCCTTTGGCCTCAAGGACATTGCTTCTTTGTTCTTCAACTTCTGCAGCATTTCTTTCTGTTTAGAATCTCCAGTTTTTAAGGCACACATTTTAGCTCTTCCTTCTGATTTTACAGCTGGGATAAATTGCATTGTTTTTGAAGAATCACTTTGTGACTGACTGTCTTCTAATTTCACTGAGTTATCTCCTCTCCTCTCCTCCAAATCAACCAGTTTGCTATCCATAACGAAACTAATATAAAGTTTTAAACCTGTTTTATCGAAGACATCTTCTTTACTGTAAAGATAAAATATAAAACATATTAAATAATGTCCAATAAATGTTTCAAAGTAAAAAGTAAAAACAGAAATGTAAGAAAACTTAAACTCATCAGTAAAACCAATGCTGTGATTTCACATAGGCACAAGTTCATTTATTACAAAGTCACTGAAATTTAACACGGCAAATATGGCTAATCTTCCATAAGCGGGGTCAGTTGACACTAAACTCTTCGTTTGCCATGTCAAATGGCATCGCTGTGTCATCTCGTAATTACCAATTACAAAAAGAAACTTGGATGTAAAAAACAATGGATGCATCATAAATTCACTAAAATATACAAGTTACTATCGTCATGGGATTCAACAAATTGAACCACTTTCGCTCAACACTTTAAACATGATGTCAAAAAGTTTAAAAATAGACACACACATTTTTTTTATATTTTAACTCATCAAATAAAAATCTAGTAAATTTTTATTTTGCATTAAGGGATTCATATGATAAATGAAGAGAAGAAAGATCTTTCTGATTATCAGCAATTGAATAAAAGTCACTAATTGATGACTTTGTGAATTAGAAAAAAACATTTGTTTGTCTACATCTATGGCTCACAGGCTGTTTCATAAATAATAATAAACATTTGCATTTTACAAAACATGGATCAGTAAAATGATAGTTAAATACAAAACATGTAAATTAACATGTATTCAAACAAGTGTTGGCACGAGCATTCATCAGTTAGCTACTGTTGCATGTAAGCTTGAAAATATGTCAAAAATATGCCAATTCTACTGAATGATGAAACCAAAGGGAGCACATCATACCAAACAAAATTATAAATTATTCCTTAGATGACATTAAAATAACATATTTACTACAAGTTCAAGATTTTGCAGATGACAACATAATAAATTCAGATTTTTACTTTATGATTATATAAATGTAATTTTTAATTAATTATGAACTTGCAGAATATATAATACAGCATGAATGGAAAAGGACCAAGAATGATTGTATAAGTGCAGCATTCTAAATTTTCACATTAATCTCTATGAAATCCATTCAGTGCAGACACTTTGCTATGCTCATTAGTTCATACTGTTTTACTCTCTATTTCACTGATTGGTATTTCAGGAAATTTTTAATTTTCATCTCTTCTGTTTTTCTGCTTCTGGAGGTATGTTTTACTAAAATTATATTATATAGGTTCAGCACATTTAAACAAAAACAAAAATTCTCTAAAAAAATATTGCATTGTACTGCAAGTAGATTCACAATAACAAGATGAATAAACTGCTGTTATAAAACAGAGCTACAATGGTACCTTGCTATATATTTGCTTTCAAGTCCAACTCAGTATCTGTACTGTTTGGACACTAAACATTTTATCTGGAATACATTTTGAATTTGATTAGTCATGACTGTGCTCATTATGCTTGTTTACCTCTTTTAAAACAATGCTACTGTTGCCTCAGAGCATCAGTATACTTTTCCTCACTATTCAATAAACAACTCGCACTATAAGTCTGAATTTTCAAATGACTTCTTCTGGTGGGAGTGCTGCATTCACTTTTTTCAAATTCATTAACAATGAGTTTTAGGAAAGCTACTGAGAAGAGCCAAGCAATGAGAAAAAGTGTTAAGATCACTATTGAGCTATTGAGCGATAAAAAAAGAGATTACTGAAAAGCATGAAGATGGCATACATATCTAGAACTTGGTTACTCCATACTGTATGTCAAGTGCAATTAAAAATGCTTATTTATTCATCAATCATTAAGGAAATAATTATTAACTTTTTCTGTGGGCTATTAGACGAATTTTTTCCTCATTCGTGCCATTTAGGTTCAGGCAACAAGGAAAAGATAAAGGATAGTTTATGTTTTGAGGTACCCCTTTGATTATCACCTAGTTGTTTTATTTATCATTTTATTGTTTAAGTTGTTCTTTTATTTAAGGTATGTATGTTTTGGAAACCCTGTTCATGACGTGATTGGGTATAATAGGTGATAGCGCTGATTTTGAATTAGAATATTTCTCAGGGCTTATTTTTGCGCTGGATGTCGGTTAGGAAGTACCTTCCTTATTTTGTGCTTTACACCGTAAAATGGCTGCTGGTCATAATATTAACCTGAAGTTTTTGTACGATTTGGAATGAAAGCATTGATTGACTGGTTTGTGTACATGAAGGTTTAAATGGCTTGGTTCACCTCAAAGTAAATTACACAATGATATTTAAGGATTCATAAACCAGAGCTCATATGACTACTATTGAAAGTATGTGGGGTATAATAAAAAGGGATTTTTGAAAGAAATGACACCGATAGTCTGGCACCAACGAGGATAATTTTGATTCTTACTTTTGTGAATTTATGCAGCAACTGCAGTATATAGACTCTAATTCAGATAATTTTCAACAATTTTTGGATGCTGTTCAGGAATTCTGTGTGCTACACACCAAAGACATAAAAATTTCTAAATAAGGTAAGTCGATATTTCCTTTTTGTACTGCACAGATTAGATAACATATATTTCCACTTTTTTATGTTATTTTCTTGTTTTATTCTGATTTAAAATGCAGTTTATGGAGAATATTTATTTATTTATTTTACGTTTTGCTGCATTATGTTTTGGACACTATTTTACTTGGAAGGACATTGCACATAAACAGGAATGGTGCCCAAAAAATCATCAATTTTTGCCAAGGGGTACCCTGAAATATATTTTTCACAAGAAAAATTAATTTGACAGAGTCCGCTACTCCCTTCTCTACATTTAGTAGCAAATTTTAAATCTCTAAAATGAATTAAAAGTTCCTTGAGCCATTTATTGTAGCCCATACATGGAATACAGTTCTACCAACCCCAAGGAAAAAGTTAATTATGTAATAATCTCTAATTTTTCATAATTCTTCACAAAATGAAAGTACGACTAGCCTTGGTATTATCAGCTACTCATAAAATGCTTTCATTTAATGTCAATATAAAATTCAGTACTTGCATATCAAGACGACCACAAAATTGTCGCCAGGCAACGCAATTTAGCACCACTTATAAATAAGAGTGATCTAATAACATGTTCACACCTGCACTTCCATTTGATGTAACCATGATTGATTATCAATAAGTCATGTTTTGTTTTTATGAACAAAGATATAAATTAAATGTCACTGCAGTATTTTTTCAGTTCTAACGCAAGCACCTTGGGCATAAGCTAGCTATTTTCTTACAGATGAAAAAGTAAAAGTTACTTAGGTCAAAGTTGGTGGTTTTTGCCAATTGTTTTTAGAAAGATTCCCAAATGTTGATATTTATTGTAGGTCAGCAGACACTATAACCATATGAAAAGAAAACATACTTTAATAATTTAAAGTACAAATTTTTATTATTAAACAACAATTACATGATATATTAAAAAGTAAAACAATTATATTCTTCACCAAATCTTTCTGTAATCTTTTCCACTATTCACCCTGAGTATGTAGAGATCTGTTTTAAAAAAAAGAAGAAAATTGCAGAGACTGAACATCCCACAAACTTCAGCAATACCGGTTATGTCACCACATGTATCATCTTATTATTCCCTTCAGAGACTTTGCAGCAAAATTCTGCATTCCTACAAAAATTTTACAGCAGTTTTTTCAACTACTGGCAAATTCTCAAACTGCATATTTTAAAATTAAGTTTAAAGCCAAAAATATCACAGTTTGTTCATAAAAACACTTGAAACCAGGTATATGACAAAAAAAATGTATAACAAAATTATGACATTGACTGAAGGATTTTTATGAGCATGGTTGCTAGAAATCAATACATTTTGAAAATGTGGCAACATCAGCTAATGCTGTTACAATAACATATAAGCACACTGCGCAGCAAAAAAATTCTACAACTCAAATTATGCCAAGTTTTATAAAAATCACATGAACATATATAACATTAGAGTAATGCTATATATAAATCTAATACATGTCTTAAGTCACGCTTTCGGGACATGAAAAATGCAGGTTGAATTTCATTAATCGGCCCAGTAGAAATGGGAGATATAGAACTGCCCCCCCTTTTTTGTGTGCAGTGTACCTTTTTCCTTGCATTTTGAAAACAATTATTAGAATTTCAAACCTACCTTCTACAAAACAGCAAACATTGGATTATTTTCAAAGTTATGGGATACTGCCAAAAAAAAAGTGTGTATTATTAAACTCAATGTGGTCACCCTGCATGTGGCTGATGAAACAGTAGTAGGTTGAAACAATTACCTGCAAGAAGTTTCTACTCAGTGGCATTCTAAATAGAGCTTCCAGCAAATCGGAGGACTTAACAAAACAGTAGAAATCGATTAAAGCCTTTTTCTGAAGAGAAAAAAAAAAAAGGTTCAAATACTGGTTGTTTATTAAAAAAAGTTATGAGTTATTTAAAAATTCCACAGGAACAATTGGCACAGTTTTGGTCAGTTCTCGGCCATCTCTCATGATTTAACAGTAGCCAATTTTTATGGTTGATGGGATATGATGTAAATACCTGAAGTTCTTTATCAGAAAGGAAAAAATCATGGTATTGAGTAATCTAATAAAATCAAAAATAAAATGAAAGTCAAGGAAAAACGAAACTGTACAACCACTGTTCTGTGCCCAACTGTTGCACTGTCATGCACCTTGTCCTTTACCAACCTTGCCCAGCAACCTAACAACAATTCCCGTAAGGCACTTGTGCAAGTCTAATTTTTTTCTTTTCTTTTCGTTCTCTATTTTTTTTTTTTTTTTTAATTTTTATATTTTCTTTCCATTTAATACTGACTGCCAGCTAGTTTATAAAATTTAGTTCATTAAGCAGTGAGATTATAAAATTTAAAACAAAAAATTTATTTATTTATAGTCAGTCCAAAAACAACTGTATTTGATGGAGCTACAAACTGATAAATAACCCTCTAAATAATAATTATTGATAAACCTCATAGTAAATAATGATCATCTAATGACAAATCTACATAATACATCTCATAATAAATTATGATAA